TTCAAGACCGCAGAACTATGTGCTTTTACCATCTCTTGTTTATACAGAGCCTAGCATAGTACTTGATAGATAATAGGTTCTCACTACATAGTCAATGAGTATATAAGACCTTTCTTATCCTGACCTCAACCTACATTTCCGTCTTCTTCTTGTTACATTTCTTTCTATTTGTGTCCCAGCCATTCTTAACTGCTTCTTGGCCCTTCACTCTGAAGCGTTACATCCCTTAGCATTGCTGTTGGTGCTACCAACCCCACCCCACACTAACACAGACAAAAAGGAAAATTTTAAATCCCAAACCAGCTTTCCCCATGCAAATTAACACTCAAAGGTGTTAATCCTTTGAGATCCAAACCAATAGTCTGTTCTTTGGTGGGATGATTGTCAAATGTCCTTGAGTATTTTTCAAAATCTGTAAGATTGGGATTTGTACATTTACCTGTCTGCCGTATTAGATGAAAAGGTTAAGAGGAAGGGACTGAGTCTATTTTATCATCTTCGTTCTTAGTACCTAAAATAGTAAATGCTTAAGAGACATTTTACAAATTGTCTTTTGAATCTGCCATGGACAGATTTTAAGCTCGTCAAACAACTTTCTTATAAGATGATTTATAGTGCAAATTTTTATATCAAATTAACAGAAGGAAGAAATTCTTAGAACCTTCTGGTTTTGGGATCACCATAAAAAGTAACTTTTGGTATAACTTAATACTATTTCAATCTGTTTTTTCTCATTTGTAAAAATACCTGTTGCTAATTTTACTGGTGCTTATTTCAACTTTAAAAAAAATGTTTAACCATTAATCATAGGTTTAAATTAAAAAATACTTCTATTGAAGTATAGTTGACATACAGTGTTATATTTCAGGTGTATGACAACGATTTGACAGTTTTAATTTTGTACATTACACAGTCGTCACCATAAGTATAGTCACTATCTGTCATCATACTAAATTATTACAATATTGACTATATTCCCTATGCTTTACTTTTTATCCCTGCCATTTATTTCATAACTAGAGTTTGTGCCTCTGAATCCCCTTTAACACCCTCTAGGTCCACATATGCTGTTGAAAATGACAAGATTTGATTCTTTTTTATGGCTGAGTAATATTCCATCATTCTTTATCAATGAGTGGACAGTTAGGTTGCTTCCGTATCTTGGCTATTATAAATAATGGTGCAATGAAGATAGGGGTGCATATATCTTTTTTTTTAATTTGTTTAGTGTTCATTTATTTTTGAGAGACAGAGAGAGAGAGAGGGAGACACAGAACCTGAAGCAGGCTCCAGGCTCTGAGCTGTCAGCACAGAGCCTGACACAGGGCTCGAACTCACAGAGTCTGAGATCATGACCTGAGCTGAAGTCAAACGCTCAGCCAACTGAGCTACCCAGGTGCTCCGTGTATATATCTTTTTGAATTAGTGCTTTTGTTTTTGGGGGGCAGATACCCATTAGTGGAATTGCTGCGTCCTATGGTATTTCTATTTTCAATTTTTTGAGGAACCTCCATACCGTTTTTCCTAGTGACTGTACCAGTTTGCATCTTAACCATCAGGGCATGAGGGTTCCCTTTTTTCCACATCCTTGCCAATACTTGTTTTTTCTTGTATTTTTAATATTGGCCAATCTGACTGGTGTGAGGTGATACCTTGTGGTTTTGGATTAATCATAGATTTTTGAAAATGAGTAGACTCCTCTGAGGTCAGGAGCCAAGGTTTATTTACTTTTTGTCCTTTGCTCATAGTCCAGCCTTTGTAGCGTAATAGGCAGTGAATAAATAAGTGGTAAATAAAGGAAAGAACCTGTGTACCAGTAGACTCCCTTCAGAACCATAAAACAACTTTTTGCCTTTAGATTATTTGCTTTTTTACCTAAGTTGAAGATTGCCATATTCTCTTCAACCAGATAATAAGCGTTTCAGGGGTCTTTAGAGCGCCTGACTACTAACTACTGACGTTTTATTTCATGGATTTTATGTAAGTTGAATGGCTAAGATGTTAAATGGCTTAAGGTGTGTAAAGTGCCTGCATTAGTATGCTGCTCATTTCGGTTTTTTATTTTCTAGAATATTGTGTGGTTTTAATTTCATTTGTCATCATATAAAATGGAGAGGAGCTTCCAATTAGAACTGTGTTCATTTAAAAAATGCATGCTTACTTTACCTTGTATAATGCCAATTTGAACACAGGCTTTTCTTTATAAGCTGTTTGATAAAACTTGGTAAGAATTGTGCTTGCATTATAGTTTAAAACTTTGTCAAATCAGCATTAAGTGAATGAACATACTAACTCCTTAAATTCCTAAATAAGTTGTTTTGCTAGTCCTTATCCCATAGTTTATTGCCTATATTGCCAGACTATCTGTGTAGTTATTTATCGTTTCAGCTCCAATAGTTGTGTTTTTTAATTGATCTAAACATGGATTTGACATTTCTGTACATAACATAAAATAACTACACTTTTCCTCAAACTGGATCTGGTTCAAATACAGGAGAAAAGCATTAAGTAATTGTTATTTAAGTAAGGTTATTTCAATAAGTAGAGAAGAACCAAGAACTATGGGAAAAATTCATTTGGCCCTTAAACAGATTTGAGAGGCTTTATTTCAATGTGATTATATATTACTACGAGAAATTACTTTTAAGACCGTTGTTTGGTGAGGTATATGAGGAAAAAATCTGAACATCTGTTTACCTTATTTTTGTCTCCTGTTAACCCTTTCCTTTAAAGCTGAGATTAGACAGTTGATCAATCTGGGTTTTTTGTCAGACTATTCAGTATTAAACTTGTCTGTGGAAGTGGTTTTTGAGGGGTCTGGATGTCAGATGGAATGATGTTCTAGAATCACCTCTTTATCATTTTGAAAATACACCTGATACCTTGTGATGGGAGTTGGGGTAGAGGTGAGAATTTGGATTTTGGAAGTTTCCCAGTAATTTTGTAATGTGTGACCCACCCCCCGTGCCCCAACACACACAATAGTAAACAAGAAGGTATTCTTAATGTTTGTAGTTAAAGGCTTCCTAGATAAAATTCAAACTGCATGCAAAGAAAAAATAAAGGCACCTTTCTCCTCCTGGAAGCAATGATGCTATTAATTAGAATGAAAGAGCATTCACTGTAGGTCCTGTCAGTAACTTAAAACAGGACTAACCTGGAGGAGAATCTTTTTTTTTAAATTAATGCTTAAAAATGTTTAATTACCAATCAATTTAATTTTTTGATAGGTTTATGGCTACAAATGATTTGATGACAGAACTGCAGAAAGATTCCATCAAGTTGGATGATGATAGTGAAAGGAAAGTAGTGAAAATGATTTTGAAGTTACTGGAAGATAAAAATGGAGAGGTACAGAATTTAGCTGTCAAATGGTAAGTGTTTTTTACTTGCTTCCCACCTCCACCACCCCATTAAAAAATTTAGTGTAATAGTTGGAAAATTATCTTAGTCTTGTGCTGTGTCTTTCTGTAGTTTTCTTTAGGGTTTGCAGGTGAGTCGTGGGTGTTTAATGTTTGTAAGTGATACATACACACTTCT